AATGCTGGAGAAACCCATTCAAGGCCAGCTGTGAAATTGGCCATTATCCCACCTGTTAGCATGGGTTTTACTCATAACGAGGCCTGAGAGATGGTCCGCTGGAGATGGATATGGAAATCAGTTGATCCTCGAAGCGCGTGAAGCTGATGAAGTGGTCCATGGTTGGATCCCGAATAGTTTGTCCTCTTATTTCACTGCGACATCACTACCGGAGACGTCTTCGAGACGGCCTCCTTGGGTTCCGATGAAGATGCGCTGAGCTCGAGTTCTAACGACCACGGGCTGTTTCGGACCAACACACACACACACACACATGAGTGCCTACACGTTTACATACATATGCATGCATGTAAGTGTACACAAGCAAAGTTGAGATGAAACACCTCCCGGACCTAATTTTGAATGTCAATTTATGGCAGTTGTTGCCGCGGCGGCGAGCCTTCATGACTCATCGCAGGTGTCTGTCAGGTGACATGACCAACGAAGGCTCGTCACATTTGCAGAGCATCCCGGGAACTGCGTCATCATAAATTAAAAAGTAAATAAAAGCAACGACAGTCAATTAAGGAATGAACTTGTGCTGTCCTTAGTCAGCAAAGTAGTTGGACGTAAAACGGGACCTTCGAAGCAGTCATTAGGTCGCCATGACAATGCTGGTCTGGAATATATTGAGAAACGGCCGTCTGGGAGACCGAAAGAGGAGTGATGTTGGGAGAATGTTCATTTAGTTTCAAGGAAGCCGAAGTAGGCATGTTTTGGATATTTGTGTGAAGAAAGCTTCGTCGCACTGTCTCGTGACTGTTGTCTGCGTGTGCAGCTTTTTCGTTGGTCATCTGACGCACGGATCAATACGAATGTAGCGTCGGGTCGCTGGGTGGTGCGCCGCACAGACACGCGGCAACAACTCTACGAACAATGCTCCTTCGACTTGCGGTGAGGCCGAATGAGCAATCTTTTCCATTCGGCTCGTCCAACGAACTGTGCCCAGTGATGACAGCAATCTGTGCTGGTGGTCTTCAAGACCCAGTTTTTTCATACCCACAAAGCCGGACTGTTTCGAGATGGAGATTGGTCACAAGGCGGCCGACGCTCGACGACCGCTTTTCCTACCATCCAACAGTTGTCACCTGGAAACAGTCCTACTTCGGTGTACGGTGAGACGAATTCACGAATCGCTTCCGGCCGACTTTTACTTGAAGGAGCCTTTGAAACGGGAGCAATGTGGCACACCGGAGCAGGCCTGATCTGTAGCCACACGAGTCGAGGTTGTGGTTGTAGTTGTGGTTGAGGGTGGTTGCCAAGCTGGCCTCTGCGAAGAACATGATGGCAGCTGCATACGAGGCGAATGAACGGGACTCGTGGACTTGCCCAGTCGGAAGTGGAAGCAGGATCTGTGCGGACAAATAGGCCCGCAGGCCCGATCCATCCGGTGCCGAGTTTTCCTCTGCCAAAGGAGACAGGAGGCTTGGTGAAGCTTCGCGAAGCTTCGCGAAGCCCGCCTCCACGTGGGACAAACGCGAGTTGAGCACAAGTGCATCGGGGTCGTGGAAGAGGGAATCGAACACCTCACCACACACATACACATACACATACACATCCGCATACACATCGACATCCATATCGACATCCACATCGACAGGCACAACACAAGGACAGTCCTAGTCCGGCTCCGAGTGGCATCCAGTCGCCTCGACAAACTAAGCGGCGGGTAGGCCAGCCCCAAGCCAGCGGAGGCGTGTCGTGTAGGTCCACTTTCTCGTCGTAACCACAGCAATCGTCTGTGCCAGTTGCCGCCTCAACGTGCGAACAACCAACTAGGACGATAGCGAAACCGCCGAGCGGTAAAGGTGGCATGCCCAACCAAGAAGGGTTGGTTGATTTTGGCGAAAAGTCTTCGATTGAAGGGCATGGAAGTGGGAAAAGGTCCATACACATGTTGCTAGGGCCGGGAGAAAAGCGAGGATTGTGCATTAGGAAGGAGAAATGGTTAAAAATGGGGCTCAAACTTGCCGGTCTGACGGATTCCGGAGCAGGGGCCCGGCCACCGGTTTCGCAGGTGCCACCAGCCCGAGACGGCGTGTCTTGTATCCGAGCTGAAGGGAGAACACACAAGCAGACAGACGCACCGGGCGGTAAAGACGTATGGATGGGGTGGGGTGGGGTGGGGTGGGGTTCGAGACGGCGACCCGTCAAAGGAGAGGCCTCGGGTTGCGGGTGCGAACCCGGGCCGACTGGCCTGAAGCCGACAAAGCGGATCGGCGGGGCAAAGAGGAGATCACAGATGAAACTATCATAATCACATCGCCGCGGCAGCGAGACGAGGAGAGATCAGGTGGTCAAGGCCACGTATACTCGCGACAGCCACTGGGCCGATCTTGCCACCTGAGCAGCAGGTTGAGCGGGGGAGAAAAGCGGTCCCGTGCCTGCGTTGTGCGTGTGTGTTGGCCAGTGTGTGCATGCGTATCCCGACAGAGAGAGAGAGAGAGAGCGAGAGAGAGAGAGAGAGAGAGGAAAGTGGACGCCTAGGCAGACCAGAAGCTCAGGCGCAGGGATGACTTGGTGAGACGAAGGCTGGTTTGTTTGCAATTGTCGTTCGCGGTGGTCATTGGGCATCGCGGTGTCGGCGCCTTGGCCTGACAGCGTGTATGCGATATGTGTGTGTGATGTGTGTGTATGATGTGTGTGTGTGATGTGTGTGCACATTTCGGCATGCCTCCTATATTCATCCAGGCTGCATCAGCCAGATTAGCCTCACCTACACTGGAGCTGAGCGCGCCTCGTTATCTGCCCACCCATCTCCGCTGCATACTGCCCAGTGTGTGTGTGTTTGCATTTTTGTGCGTATGCGAGTGTGTACACCGCCTACACACGCACAGACCAGGTTACCACTAGGCATAGAGGCGCAGCCAACCAATCAAAGGGCGACAGGAAGTGTATTGGTGGCGTGCAGTTACCCGGTCCAGCCTGTGACAACGCGGTGGTGCTCTCGTTGTCAGACTGTCTAGCCGGGCCTAGGTGGCCTCACACTACTGTCTATCAATCGGTATCTGTGTCTGCGGTGTGTGTGTGTGTGTGGTGTGTGTATGGTGTGGTCGGGGCAAACGGGGCCATAGTGGCCGGGCTAGGACCACCGTGCCACGTTGGCGGTGTTCGCTTGGGCCTGCCCGGGGCGAAACCAAATGATTTCGTAACTTGGACAACCAGACGCCTATTGATTGATAGGAGGCATAGGATGGGAGGAAAAAGACCTGATGGTGCTAAGTGTCGTGTGACACAACGCTCGTGTGCACGGTCTCGGGACACGTGGTGAACTGGCGGCCGGTTCGTCGCGTTTGCCCCGTTCGCCCCGTTCGCCCCATTCGCCCCATCCTGCACTCTTACCGTCACACCAACACAATTCTCACCTCGTTCCCAAGTCTGTGGCTCGGGGTCCGAGCCCCTTGTCGTCACGCCGCTGGCACAGATCTGGAGCCTTTGTCCATGGGTCAACTGGGCTTTTTCGTCCCGAGTCCAATGGTCTTGTCTTTATGTGTGTTTGTATGTGTGTGTGCACACAAGTTGTTAGCATATGCGTCTATGTGAAGAGTAGATAGGTTTCGAAGTGCCTTTCGAGACTTCATTTCGTGTCAAAGTGTATCTGATGAAGAGATTCGTTAGTCAATCTCAACTGATGACGATGGTCTTCTTGACATCGTTTTGGGTGGAAGATTTGTTGAGACTAAATTCCGGCCCCGGGCGAATCGTATCCCGCTCAACT